TTGTTTTGCCATGGTGGATAAGCGAACCCCTGAAGCTTTTAAGTGAATCAGGTTGTTGTTAAGCGAATTCCTGCCGTGATTTACAGGAATCAGATGGTCGTTAAGCGAATCCAACTCCCCCCCCTCCCCGTGGACTCGACTTTGCATTAAAAAGTCGAGGAATTGGAAGAGGCTCCCCGAAAAGGGAGGCAGGGTGGCTGAATGGGCAAATCTGTGCCTTCCAGACTGGGTGGGAGACTACAACTCCCATAATGCTTTGTGAAAAGAATGGGGGATTCTGGGAAATGTAGTCCAGCATTGGGCAGCCGTGACCTCATTCACCTCAATGGAGCTGCTTTCAAGCTAGCACCACAGGAGTCTGGTGATGCACCAAGCACCCTAGAATTGGGGGGGTCATGACTTGACCAGAAAAGACCCAGCCCCACTCTTCCCTTTTTTTCTTGCCAAGCAGGCAGGGGCCGAAATCCATGACCCTCATTCTCCACCCCTTTTTGCTGGCCTTGTCCCCAAGGCTTCTTTCCTATTCCTGGATTAATCTGGGTTAAGTGCCAGGCAGATGATGATGACGACAAAACACACAGGTCTTGCTGGGACAGGAAAGCAGGAATTGTGCCCAGAAGGAATTTGAACCCAGGATCCTTGGGTTTCCACCCTCCCCTCCCTGGGGAATTGAGGTTAATCCCTTCAGATTCCTGGCAGGCGGAAAAAAAGAAACCTGTTTTTTCCCTCCTCGACGGTGGTCCGTCTTCCCTTTGACAGAGGAATATTTCCGAATTTAATTATATTTATTCAGATACAGATTTATTCCGTTTAGTGACCGTTACAGCCACTGGAAAAAAGGGACTTAGGGCCACGTTTTTCCCCACTTAGTGACCGTCGCAGTGTCCCCATGGGGATCACGGGGATCAAAATTCAGACGCCGGGCCCGTTTCCGTTGCTGAGCGAGACCGTTGTGAAGTGATGACATGAAATCAGTCAGCTACAACAGTTGTTAAGTGAATCCGGCATTCCTGTCCCTCTCAGCCAAAATGGGATCACGTGTCACACACACACCGCCAGGGGAATGCTGCGACCATCGTAAACGAGTTGGTCGCTGAGCGTCTGAATTTGGATCACGGGACTGACGGGGATGCTGCGATGGCTGTAAGTGTGAACCACAGTCCCAAGTCCCTTTTTCCCAGGGCTGTTGGGGCTCTGATCAGTTGCTAAATCAACCATTGTCACTAGAGGATCAGCCATATTCAAATTTGGGATGTTTCTGACACAAATCAACAAAGCAGGCAGTGCCAACCAGAGGTCAATACTGCAGAGCAAGGTGATGAATGCACACAGGCACACAAAATACACACACACAACACACACACACACAGAGGTGTGTGTCAGCCTTGCAAAACTGGAGATTTTCTCGTCCTTTCGTGGGCTTTCTGCACATTTCCCCCAGGCAACTGACTGGCCCAAACCAGCTGGGCAGGAATCCAGGGGGTTGGAAGGTGGGGGGGAGGGGAGAGAAGGACCTCAGACCGGTTTTCTCCGGTTTGCAAATCGTGGTTTGTTTTTGCAGGGGGGATGGGGGGATGGGATGAAAGGGCAAGGGGGTAAGTCAGTCAGCAGCCCCTGCTGCTCCTTGGTAACTGCGCTTCGATTTCTTTACTTTTTTTACTGCACTTCTGAAGACAAAAGCTTTCTCTTCCTCAATGAAGTCTGACGTCATGCCACATCTTCATAGGGAAGAGGTCCGGCTCAGAGACTGTGCCCTCATCTCTTGCTGGGCTGGCTCTGCGTTCTCCTCCCCCACCCCCACCCCCACGTGGCTTTCTCAAATGTCCCTGTAGGGTGGGGGTTTTGTCACCCTTGATCACTTGAAGAAGTGGGGGACTTCAACCCCCAGAATTGCCCACAGTGCTGGGCAACTCGGGGCCTCATATAGGCCAAAATTAGGAACTCTGTAGCTTTCTAGATCTGTTTTTCAAACCTGGCAAAATGAAGAGGGGGGGACTTCAACTCCCAGAATTCCCCAGCCAGCGTGATTTAAGATGGTGGACTTCAACTCCCAGAATTCCCCAGCCAGCATGCCAAAGTCAACCTGGCCTATATTCCTGACAATTGCTCTAATTTTCCTAATCTGTAACTGTGTGGGAAGATTCATTCCCAGAATCCCTAGCTGGTCAACTGGAATTCTGGGAGTTCCACCCTCAGCCTGATCCCCTGTGAAGGGTTGAGGGTTTCCTGAGCATGTTTGGAGTGCCTGGGCCTAGGAAGCGGCTTTAACCAGGGTCAAGCCAGGCTTTTAATTATCACAGCTGAGGAGGAAGTCATGCTGGCTGGGGAATGTTGGGAGTTGAAGTTTACTTGTCTTCAAGTGGAGAAGGGGGAGAAGCACTGTGAGTTCTTTGTGCCACCTGGTGGCGACAGGTGGTATTTCACTACATTAATCTACTGTAACAGATAACAGATAATCAGAGTTGGAAGGTACCTTGTAGGTCATCTAGTCCAGTGGTCACCAACCAGTGGGCCGGGGACCACTGGTGGTCCACGAGAAAATTTTGGTGGTCCCCAGAGAAATGTCACCCCCCAAAGCACCCCCCCAAAGCAATTAATTCAGGCTGCATGGGAACACAAGGCTGCTCCACCCACATGGCCCACGGGAACACAAGGCTTGCGTCACATTGTGAACAACATGAGGTAGTGAGGGGAGGGAGGTAAGGGTGGAGGGGGGGAACTTGCCTCACTCGGCCCACATGCTTTGCCTGGCCACCGGGCTGCTTCTTTCTGCTTCTTTCTTTTTCTGCTTTTAGCTGCACAAAAGGAAAGCAGCAAAAGTCTTTCTTTCTCTCCCCGAAACTCTGCTAGAAATGAGTCTTTGGGACCCTGCAAGGCATCCCTCTGCAAAAGGCTGCGCCAGCAAAGACTCATTTCTGGTGGGGTTTGGGGGAGAGAAAGAAAGACTTCTGCTGCTTCTGCTGCTTTCCTTGCATGAAGCCAAAAGTCTCTCTCTCCCCCCGCCCACCTAAGAACGGAGCTGGAGACAGTATCCTGTGATCCCAAATAAAGAATGATCAATCGGTAGGAAAACGGGGTGGGGAATTTTCCTGAAGACTTTTTTCCTGCAGCCACCGTCAGTCAAAATTCATATTAGTGGTCCATGGGATGTAAAATTATGAGTTTGGTGGTCCCTGAAGTCCAAAAGGTTGGCGACCCCTGATCTAGTCCAACCCCCTGCCCAAACACCCAAACAGGAATTAAGCAAAAAAGAAGGAATACAGGTCGTTCTCGACTTACAATGGTTCATTTACTGACTGTTCAAAGTTGCAACAGCAGCGAAAAAAGTTATGACTGTTTTTCACAGGACCGTTGCAACATCCCCATGGTCACCTGATCAAAATTCAAACGGTTCACCGCCAACTCAGATTTATGAGGGGTGCAGCGTCCCAGGGTCACCTGATCCCCTTTTGAGAACTTCTGACAAGCAAAGTCAACGGGGGAAGCCGGATTCGCTTAATGTCAGTGATGTCAGTGATGATTCAAAACTGCAGTGATTCACTTAACAATGGTGGCAAGAACGGTTGTAAAATGGGGGGAAAACCCCAAACCATTTAACAAATGTCTCACTTAAGCAACAGAAACATTGGCCTTGATTCTGGCCGTATGTCATGCTCCTGGTGGAGACTGACTCTGAGGAAGAGGAGGAACAGCCAACAGGGAGTGGGAGTGTGGCTCCAGAGGTGGTGGAAGAGGCTGGGGAAGGGCAGAGGCCAGCTGAGCAGTCAGAGGAGGATCCAGGCCCATCCCCTATCCATCCTAGGTCACGCAG